GAAAGGATCTCTTCAATCTTGGAGATAGTGGCAGGAGCCTTGACAACCCTACCATAAAAGCCGTCCTCCATCGCGTGTTCAAGGGTAGCTTCGAGAACGAGCCGGTGGATTCCCTGCGGACTTACGCCGACTCTTCAACATTCTTCAGCCCGTCTGAACGCGCAGAGCAGAGATCTAAGCCTGCTGGTGAGTTGGCAGCATGGCTGGATACACATCTGCTAGAACTCCAGATACCACAGTTTGCGTCTCTATCTAATCCACAGATTGATAATTGGATTGTGAACCTTCACCCTGACGCGAAGGATGTTGTACAGGACCGTGACGGAAACAATTTGCACAATCGCGCGAGAGGCATGCTCTACCGCTTCTTCGTTGGTAAAATCGAAGATATGACCGACAAAGAAGTTGACGAGTGGCGGAACAACGACCCTGCCATGTCTGCGGACGATAAGAACGACACTAGCTCTGCGCGACGGTGGCTGAACTATAATCATGAAACAACCAAGCCGGTACCTTATTTGAAGGACAGTCCTCTCCATTGGCCAAGAAAGGAGCACCCGCTCGAACAAGGCCACAAGCGAAAGCGAAGCGACGATGATAACGATGGCAACGGCGACAACGACAATGATGCACACCAAAGGAAGAAAGGGCCCAAGCATGACGATAAGCATGGCAAGGACGACGACAATATGAATTCCAGAAGCATCGACTACTGGCTCAGAGTCGACGCAGAAACGCTCAACAAGTACGTCACTGACGACATCCGCAACGACCCAAGAATCGGTGAGCATTCCAACGAGTATACCTATCGGGCCATTCTCTACGTGCAACACGGCGGGCTCTTCACAGGGATTACTAGACTCGCACATGCTAGTAGCTGGATCCATGACGTTAATGTCTTTACGACCAGCAAGGACCGGAATGCCTCTGGTGTCGATGCAGTCATCGATATAAAGGGCGAAGTCGATTTTCGTACTTCACGGGCAGAAGTCCAACGACGTATGGATGCGAAATATAGGCCAACGGACATCCAGCCGGAACAGGCGCCTGTAGGGGGTAACAAGAACGGTCGTGGGCCTCCGAAGAAGCGTGTTGAACGTCCTAAGCCAGGCGGTGCGCCTCCTAAATCAGACGTTGGACCTCCTAAACCAAACGGTAGGCCTTCTAAACCAGGTGGCGGGCCAAACAAGTCAGCTCAAGCTCCTCCCAAATCAGCTCTGGCTCTTCCCAAGTCAACCCCACCGCCCTCTAGGATAACTCGCGCTTCTTCGAAGGTATCTCAAGCTTCCATCACGTCAGCTCAACAGCCCTCTCGGTCAACTCGCGCTGCGTCGAAGGCAAACCAATCTCCTCCCAAGTCCAATGGAACCACCGTCAAGTTTAAACCAGTTTATCGAAAATTCTCAGAGGCAGCGACAAGTAACTTGCCCAGACTGAACCGAGCTGCACTAAGCCAGGAAAACGTAAACTTCACGCGCATGACGGAGGAGCAAGTCAATGATTGGGTTCAATTGGGATGGATGCAGACACCAGTCAATCATAACCTCGACTTGTGGCACAATAAGACACTTCTCCAGATGTGCTTTGGCGGGCTTGCTACTTTGTCCGAGGATGACAGGACTTACTGGATGGCAAATGATCCACTGTTTGCCTCAAATAATGACAATCAGAACCCAAGCAAGTTTGTAGCGACACTCAAGGAGCGTGTCGCTGATTCAGTTATAATGGATAACCGAGGCCATGATCATCTCTACCCAGACTGGTACTTGGCTCACTTCAGGGAGGGGAGGAAGATAAGGGTGATGGGGAGACGAGGAAGAAAGGGGTGGGGTGGGGACGGAGGAGGAGAGTGATGTATGAGTGAGTGTATGGTGGTAACGACAGATGGATAAGTGAGAAGGAAGTTTTTTATTTGCTTATTGGTTGGTTGGTTGGTTGGTTGGTTGGTTGTCTTTCAGGCGTTGTACTATAGATGGTAGAGAATTGTAATCTTACTCTTTCGAAGAAGCTGCCAGAATGTTGGACACAGAAACCTACATTTCTCCACCCCTTCACGGCCTAAGCCCAAGTGACAACAGCACGACCGACACCCAAGCTATGAAGGCTCTTATGATCTACAAAGAGTTCTACGACGACTTTTCGATGCGAGCAAGCGCCCACTTATTCAGTTGCTATAACACATCACTTGTAAACAAAATCCTCTCTCTCCCTCAGAGGGTAAGAATTTCGATTTGGAAACTAATCACTGACCTAGATCTGAAGATGCCAGCTTTTCCAGGTAAGATGCGCTATGCAGCCCAAGGGTTATAGCAAAACGCCAAACACCCTTCGCCAAGTTTGTAAACAATATATCAACACACATCACCAAACTGATGCCACACTCAGCGGCGACCCTACCGCCCACCTTGCTGCCCCGCCAACCCAGGGCCATCCTTCGTCCAACCCCCTTTCCGCATACCATCCTCCACACGCCCCCAAATCCTCTCCACAACCTCCCTATCCCTCCACCTTCCTTTCTCACTACCCGTCCATTTGTCCACCCTTACAGGCAACACGCCTCTTCCCAGAGCCACCACATTCTCCGGTGGTTCCTCATTCGCCCAACCAACATACAGCCCGGGATAATGACTGAACAGTTCCGCAGGATTCGTATACTTGTAACTCTTGAACTGCCAAATTTGACCTGTGGTGAAGATAGCGACGACTCGGGACCAGTATGTAGGTTTGAAACTAGCTGTGCTGTCGACGAGGATGAACGTCAGAGGTGAGCTGGATATAGAGGGGAGAACGCGTTGTATTCGCAGCATGTTGGTCGCGGAGGAGGTTGTTTCTGTTGCGTTGGGCGGCATGAAGATGCCGTCTGCTAGGAAAGGTTTTGCGTTCGATGTGCGTAGCAGGGATGAGGCGGACGGAGAGAGGAGGATGATGGGTTCGAGGCGTTTTGAGGGGCGCTTTTGGAGGTTCGAGACGAGTGCGGGTTGCGGTGCTGGGATAGAGTCTGAGGGGCGGCTGCGGAGGAAAGTCGCGGCGATTTTGCGGTATGGCGAGAAATCCTGTTGCTTGTTAGCATACCGTGCGAGCTCTGTAGATAATGAGAGACGTACGATGTTCTTTGTTCCTCTTAGTACACTGTTGTGGTCTCCCATTCTCCTCTCGCCGTCGTAGATCTGTAGTAACCGCGCATCTACCATCTTCCCTCCTCCCACATTTTTCACCTGCCTGTCAACTGGCACCCCTTTGCCTCCGGCGATCGCAGCCGCATCGCCTGCTGCAGCACTCGCGGCTCCTGCATCGATCGCAGCAATACTATCACTGCCCTCCGTCTCTCCACTCAGCCAAGCGATCAACTCGATCTTCTGCGCGAACGTGAGATTTTGCACGCTCCCTCCTGCGCCACCTGGCAGCTCTTCATTGAGGGTTTGCACAGCGGCAAAGTAGTCTGTCACAGAGGCGTCTTTGTTCAGCCATGCGAAGTAACAGCTGCGCAAGTCGGCAGGTTTGCCATCTGGTGCGAAGCGCGTGGACGAACTGAGGTCGAAAGTGCGGTGCGCGCCATCGTCGGTATTGAAGCTTATGTGAGTTGCGACAGCAAGGTCAGCAACGGTGTCGGCTGGTGCTGGGATTGCAGATGTAGCGAGGATGGGTGTGGCAGACGCCTTTATGCTGAGTCGCAGGTTGTAAAGCGGATCTTCGGTTTCAGCTTGTGTTGCCATCGTACGGTAATTTGGCGCGTAGAGGCGCGTGAGAGGAGGGTTGAATGCGTAGAGATGAGGAGGTGTGTAATTGAAGTTGAAGCCTCGACAATGCGACTGTACTTTTGGTGATCCCGCGATTTCGCCGAGCATGGGACGTGCTTTCACCTGCGGACCTCCGCTTTGTCCTAATTCACGCCTCAATACTCAGGGTCTAAAGATAGTAGCTCGAGCTTGGTAAGGACCAAGAGAGATTCATGAGACTGTTGATAGGAAATCACAATAAGGCTTGCGATCCGATGGTCATGTCACGCTCACACTCGACGCTCGAGATTCTTACCTACGATGGACTCATGAGATTTAGCAAGAAATTCGCACTTTTACAATACAATAGGAAATATAAGTCGACAGTTTGGCCCAGATTGACGGTGCTGGAATCAGCGGTCGATATTCCTTGAATTTTCATTCTGTCAACATGCTTAGTCTTAGTCGGAATAGACGAAGCTCATTTCATCAAGCTCCGAGGTCCGAATATAGTCCTCTTGTTGCTGGCCTGGGAGCGTACTTCAGACCGATCTGCATATTCGTAAGCTATAAACGATGACGAGTATAGATCACAGTAAGTATCGAACGCATATCAAAGCTTGAAGGTTCCATTCGGCAAGACTGAAAAATGCTGGTGATTTGCCAGGATCAAGTACAGTCCCGGCTGAAGGTTAGCTTTAAATCCGAACTAAGATGGGTCCCTCCCCCCACCTTTCCACATGCAACCACTCTTCCGGTCTATTCCGTCCCGTTCACCATCAGATAGGCCCTGCCCGGCCCTGACTCAGATGTCTCTTTAGAATATATATTTTCTTTCTACAGAAAATCTCATCTTAACGCAAGCGCAACGTTTAGTTGCAACTCTCCGCTTGGTGTAGTTGGTTTATCACGTTCGACTGTAATAGCACATTGTTATCGAAAGGTCCCTAGTTCGATTCTGGGAGCGGAGACAACCAACTTGATTTTTTGCTAGCAGTTAGCTGGGTTGATCTCTCTTTCGGTCATCCGCTGTCCCGTTTTAGTCGATATAGTGGGAGACGGTCCAGCCTTTTTGCCGGTGGGGTCATAGTGGGGTTGAGCTATTGTGCAAGGGTGTCAATAGGACACATTGAACGCTAGTGTTAATGGATAATGGATTGTACAGGTGGCTCTGTGGACAGAGCGGGTCTTGATCACAGGCCTATTTGCAATTTACTGAGAGCTTCGTAGGAAGCCGCACTCGCTACGTATATCAACGATGTATTTCAGAAACTCTTCTCATCAGGCCGTATGGCGCAACGGTAGCGCGTCAGATTCCAGTTATCTTGGGACATCCTGAAGGTTTTGCGTGTTAGTACCACTGATGTACGATTCGTGAGACGTTGCTAACGTGCCGTGAAGTCGAATCGCAATATGGTCATTTCTTTTTGCCCTGTGGCATGGTCCCATCTTTTTGCTCTTGTGCGTGCCTCTTGACTGCGTATTGGGTCACGGTTTATTCCAGACGAGGGCCATGACTCAGTCGGACTTTTGGACTACCCGAGAATTATATGGTTGTCGATGTAGACCTTTTTACGTTGGTGCAAGTTGTGTAGTGATTTCAATCAGCTTATCCGAATGAGCCAAATACCACTGCTTTGCCAGACGAGTTGTCTTCTTGCACCATTGACTTCTCGAGCATTAGTAGCAAATGTGATGTTCGTATGAGAAGCTCTATGTTCCATGTTAGTATAGACACCCGTGTAGGCACCAAGGTACATACCATCATATTCGATCTCATAAATGACAGGCATGTCCTCGTCCGACTTGATGAGGATTGGTGCATTTCTTTGAAGTTTCCGTTCCCTGACATTGAAGCGTATACCAGTGTTCCTCAGCGAGCTAACCCACAAGATCTGTGGATCATCGAGATCCTTTGCATCGCTATCGACCTCTTTCACGGCCTCCTTTCCCTTGCCTATCTCTTCGACAACCTCTTGCGAGATATCGCTGTTAGTTGTTCGGCCTTTTGCTGCCGTATCTCGCAGCCAGTCTCTCCACACTCTTACTACTCCTTCTTCAACACCTACAAAACAGGTAAAAAGGCCACTGCGCGGTCCAATCTTGACGAGATTTGTTTGCGCCACTAATTGCGTAAATAGCTCGTGTGCCTCTAACCCCAGTGTCTGCTTGACCGTTTCGCCCCGACCTTTGTCCTGGACAGTCCCTGGAAAGGTGCGACTCCCAGGTACGTCTCCAGGGCGTGGTAACACTCGTCTCCCACCACGTTCTAACTCGCGTCGGTATGGTCGGAAGCGGGAGTATAAATTGTGCATCTCCCCGAGCCTCCCGACTGACCTCTGGTTGGGCTCACTCTCCTCGTAGAGCGATAAGCCATTGGTGCCATGAGATGCGCAGAAGTAAGGTGGTTCGGTAAGCTTCGCGGAGGGGTGGTAGCACTCGAGGAGCAACGTGTGCGAATGTAGCTCGGCAGCTGCGACGATTCGGTTGTGTAGGATACGTAATATGATTGTGTATATGCGATGGGATATTGTCGTCAAAGGAAGGAGATCGGGTGTCGGTAACGGAGCGAAGAGGTGTAACAGCAGCTATTATTGTTAGCTTAAGTCGGCTGGGATGGGAGAGGAAGGTAACATGCCTCGTTTGGGAGCCTATAGAGGTAGCATTCACTCATTTGTGATTCAACTGCGGGTAAGGCCCTTCGACAAGTAGTATTCACAGTATCTTGGTAGTATTCGAAGAGACGATGTCACGGAATGGGCGAAAGGAAACCATACAAGCCAACGGAGATAAGACATCGTCATCGCCATGCTAGGTTGCTCCTTTGGTGAGCCGAGGCCATTCTCAAACAGGTTAGACCTGATATCTGCCAGAGACGCGCTTTCCCTTTCGAGAGTCAACATTCAACTCTCGTCTCTCACCTCGTGGGCGTCAACATCTTCTGTCCTTAATTCGAGGCGCCAACAACTCGAGGACGCAAGTCCACGCGCTCTTTAAGTATGCCCACCTTGCAGAGCTTCGTCAAAGACGGTCGTCGCCGCACGGGCAGCCCACAGAATGGTCAAGCAGGTCTCAATCCTAGCCGGCAGGCAATTGGTGCAAATGCGAAGGTTACGCTCAAGAAGGTGTCTACCAGTCAACAGCCACAAACTCAGCAGGCACTGGCGTCCCGTGGACTCGGCAATACCCAGAACACTTCTGCAATTATGCAACAACCTCCGCAAAGTCGCCCGCCAGGCCAAGGCCAAGGCCAGAATCAGAAACGTGACCTTTACGATACTGACGCGGAGAGTCTGGACACTACCGTGAACCACTCTATCATCGAAGTTGAGGACAGCCAGAGAGGAGGTCGTCACAATCAACAGGACCCAAATGCCGCTACCAACGACGAAAACTCGGATCCTAATGCGGAAGAATCTGAAGAGTATGAAGAGGAGGGGGATGACATGGATGACTACCAGATCACGCAAGAAGATGACCAGCTTCTCACACAAGCAGATATCCAGCATCTCTCTCATGAACAAAAACTTCAGTTCTTGCAGCAGGTGCAGGCACGGCCGCATGCACTCTTCACAGTCGAAGGTGATTCGTACCCCACTACCACTGACGGCGAACCCACTGAATGGGAGGGAGGACAGGAGCCGACTTCCGAAATTGACGATGGTGGCGCAATAGCTACTCGTCCGCAGCGGGTGATTGCCAACGGACAACTCACACGTCCGTTCGCACCACGGCCACCTCAGCGAGGTCAGATGCCGGACATGTTTGGAGCTAATCAGACTATGCCAAAATTGTCTGGCATCTTTCATCAATCAGCAACTATCCGCAACCAGGAGCGTTTCCCTACTCATGCTACTCAACAAGGAGGACAACCCCATGAGATCAATTCTGCTGCCTTGCCAGCCAATCTCAATCCTATCTCCAATCAGTCCAGGCGCGAAATCGCACCCGATTTACCAGCTCACTCAAACAACTACCAAAACACCCGCGGACAGGTCAACAGGCCTCCCCAACTTTCCCAGTATCAAACGTCCAGTTCTACGCGAGTCCAGCCGCTGCATGTTGATCCGCTCGAGGGTCGTGCTCCTTCGAATCGTCTATCGTCAGCTCGCACTAAAGCCAATCCCATCATCCAGAAGGAACCTATGATGGAAGGGAGGACAGTCGAGGAATCTTCCGCTGATCGAGTTGTTGACTATGATCAGGAGCAGCTATACGCCTTGTCCTACGATGCATTGAGAAACGAAAATTTCGACAAGGATCCTCGTGCGGGTCCTCCCGCTCTCACCGATGACATGCTTCAAAAGCCACTCGTCGAGCGCTTGCAGTTCGTACAGAAGAACTTCGATGCTGATAGGCAGTCTGAGTTCTTCCACTCACTGCCTACCTCCGAATGGGAAGATGCAGGTGACTGGTTTCTTGATCAGTTCCAGAGCATCATTCATCGCACGAAAGAAGCAAGACAGAACAAGCGGAAACTTGCACAAGAGTTTGAGCAGGAAGTTGAGAAGCGCTACAAGCATGTATCAAAGAAACAGTCGCAGGTCAAGGAGGCTATGGACAAGATGAAGTTGCAAGGCGAGAGTCTGGTGCCTAGGAGTCCGAGAGCGTCGAAGAGCCCGCGGCCAAGGAAGGGTTGACACCTACATGGTTCTCGATTAATCTCTACGTGAGGACGATATATGTTGGAATCCGAATGTAACGCAATAATGAAGGGCGTCGGGATATTTCCGGGAGCGGCGCATAGGGAACAATGCATCAGCGGTGGCGAAACGGTCTTATACGTATAATATACCCATATCAACCAGCATACTACATACGTAAATTTAGCACATGAATATCGATCATGATCTTCGAGTCTACACCGCGCATCTTCGTCGTTGAGTTGCCGGCGCTTCAACCTAGTATACAAGAGTACCACACTTCCTATCGAACTGAGATGATCCAAGTAGGAGACCTGAACTTTGGCGACCTTAAGGGAGAAGATTAACTGAACGTTCATTGTACATGCTTGCAAGCACTCTGGCCTATGATTAGACCCTTTTGGGGGTATGGGTCCGTACGCATACATGTAATCTGTGTAGTTGACAGAGAAGCAACCAGAGTACTTCTCGTGGAAGCAACTAGTTTGATAATGCTAGTACGGATATCAAGCCACTAATTGGCACAAGGAAACACCGGTAGTTTTACGAAATCTATGTTCTATCTGTACTCGACCATACCCTCTACCTCTCATACTCGAATATTCTGAAATGAAGGCCTTCCTCATAAGAATTCTTTTTGTTGAATATACATTCTACTGACACACATATAATATTAGGCATTTATATGGTAGTCCCCGATCTATTTTCCCTATATACAGCGGCTACGGTACAAGAGACAGATGCCCATATGGCTGGGCCAACAACTTCCGCCACCGAAATCCTGTTCCGAGTGAAGTATATCCACGCCGTTGCATACACATATGCTAGCCCGACTATCTCTAATTAAGATAATCATTGTGAAAAGCGAGTGAAGGGGGTGCCGATAGGCAACATGTCCGAAATCACGACAGCGATAAAGCCCATCGGGGTTACGGTCAGTGACTGACTAAGGCTGCGCTGTGAAAGGCCGCGCCTACGTGAACCCTCGCCATATAAAAGTTTCGCCCCGAAACTTTACACTTGGTCATCTCAACCACAATTCCCAAATCACCCTCAGCCCAGACTTGATTGAGGAATCTCCTCAGCCCTCGCATTGCACCCACCATTTGGTATCCGCCCAACATGTCGACACGCACCATGGACACTGAATTCCCCTTGCCGGTCCCTATGCACCGTCCGTTCATTACACTGGACCCGCAGTACGATGAACCTCTCCCATTCCGCCGCGCTCTCAAAAAGGTCACCGAACTCAACGCAGAGAACGCTATTCCATACAAGCTGCCAAAATCACGACCTATGTCGAGACTCGAGTTGCTGCCCCTTGAGATTCGACAGCGGATCTACGCCTACGTGGGATTCGATCCGAGGTACTGGCGCTACGAGGGCATTGAATACGAATCATGGCGGGGCTCCTTTACAAATTATATCTCCTGCGCATGCAGTACTCGGAGGAGTTGTCTCTCAACGCGAAGTTGGCTCGAACGGGACTGGAAGATCCGCTCACGATATGAAATAAACCTACTTCACATCAATCATGGCTTACGAGCTGAGTTCTTAGACCTCATGCTCCGTGGCCAGACCGTCAAGTTTAAGCCCATCTTGCGCAATGAATGGTTTGATGAGGTTGAGTCGATGTCGCATTCGGAGCGCCACAATTATTGGTCATCTGCCTGGACAGCCAAGAGCCTTGAATGTTGGACTTTCGAATTTCTCCGACACATCCGCATCAAGGAGGATAGGACATGGCATACCGGCGAAAAGGCAAGATGTTATGCCT